TATGCACTGTGCTAAGCTCGCCTTCTAAATTATCGTTGCTTTTTTCCACTTTTTCATTTTGTTATGCCAACACAATTTAGCGCAGCTATTGGTTGTTGGTTTTGTTGGCTTTGCTAATAATTCTATTTTTAGAATGTTTAACTTTTAGGTGTGCTCGTCCTTAAGTTATTTGTTTTTGTTATTTTTTGGCCTTATAACAATTATATTCAACAATTTTTAATGGGCTTGAGGCCGTTTTTAATGAAAAGCTTATTGTGGAAAAGCAACAATAATGTGAAAAATTGGTAGAAGTGACAGCTATTTCGGAAATCACATTTCCTCATCAGACTTCTTCCAGTAGGCTTCGAACCGACGATCCCAATGACTCAGCCAGTTGCCTATGCACTGTGCAAAGCTCGCCTTGTAAATTATCGTTGCTTTTTCCAATTTTTCATTTTGTTATGCCAACAGAATCAAGCTCAGCTATTCCGCTGCAATTCACTTGATCATGTGGTTGTTGATTTGGTTGCTTTTTGCTAATAATTCTATTTTTAGAATGTTTAACTTTTAGGTGTGCTCGTCCTTATTTTATTTGTTTTTGTTATTTTTTGGCCGTATAACTATTATATTCAACAATTTTTAATGAGCTTGAGGCCGTTTTTAATGAAAAACTTATTGTGGAAAAGCCACAATAATGTGAAAGAATGGTAGAAGTGATAGCTTTTTCGGAAATCACCACATTTCCTCATCAGACTTCTTTCAGTAGACTTCGAACCGACGATCCCACTGACTCAGCCAGTTGCCTATGCCCTGTGCTAAGCTCGCCTTGTAAATTATCGTTGCTTTTTTCCACTTTTTCATTTTGTTATGCCAACGCAATCAAGCGCAGCTATTCCGCCGCTATTCACTTGATCATGTGGTTGTTGGTTTTTGCTAATAATTCTATTTTTAGAAGGTATAACTTTAGGTGTGCTCGTCCTTATTTTATTTGTTTTTGTTATTTTCAGGTACCGAACATAACAGTTATTGATGAAAACTGTCATGGAAAAATTCACTATGAAGGAAATATTCTACAACTAAGTTAAATATACCAATCGATTTCGTTTTGCACCGAGACTCAAATTTGAAAATAAATTTTTATTTGCAATT